GGTTGACGAGAAGAACTTGTTATAGGAGTATTGTCACATCTTATATCTTCACAACCAAATGATGGTTCTCTTCTTCTACATGGGTCATCATTTCCATCAAGACAATATGAAATGTTTATATTATCATGAATAAACGATTCTGGTATACATTGTCCATTAGGACATTGAAATTCATTATCTTTACATTTATTTATTTCAATTTGCCAACAATATTCTTCATCAAATTCTCCATCAAGACAATCAACTTTTCCATCACAAATTTTGCTCCAATCTAAACATGATGGATCAGGACCACGATTACATTTTAAATGTCTATAACAAGTCAAATTAGTCATTGTATAGAAATAATTGTGATAGAAATCATAAATAATTTCATATAAAGATGAATGATATGAATAATGATTATATAATTCATATTGACACATTAAACCAAATCTTGGTAATGTACAATTATAGAAAATTTCTTTTCTTAAAGATGATGATGATGATGATGATTCATTTAATGTTGTTGATAATTGATTTAAATAAAATTGATAATTTTCAATAATATCAATTGGTGTTAACCAAAGATATAATTGTTGACTTGTTATATTTTGTTTTGAAAGTTGATCAAAAGTAAAATTCCGAAATAAAATATTTTTCTTTTCAATATTAAATTTTGATGATAATTCATTCATACAATATAATATCATTTGATAATGAGATTCACTTTCTTCAATAGCAACAGGAACACGTAAACAATCATGTTGTAATCCATTATTATCATTTCTTTCACTTAACCAATGTGTATAATAAAGATTGATTTGTGGTGTAGCATTAATTAAATGTAATAGAATGAAATAGAATAGATTTCTTATTCGAAATATTTTCTATATTTCATACAATCAAAAATGAATACAATGAAAGCTATTTATACAGATTTTTTATCTTTACTAGAGTCCTCGAGTATTTTTTTTTTTGTATGTGAAAAGCTATGATATTTTATGAACAAACTCGTTTATTCCTGTTTGTCTAGCTTCTAATGAAAGTTAGAGTATATGATAGTTGATAATTAGCATTAGTTAACAAGTTGTTTTTTGTTAATGCAATTTCGAGTAAATACATATCTGTTTTAATAATGCATCTGTCGCATGATTATAAAGTAAAAAAAAAGATTTTATACATCAGAACAAAAAAAACACTTAATGATGAATTTTAGTTAAAATAACAATTGAAATGCTCGATTATTAAATATTTATGAGACCTTCCATGAGATTATCAAGAACTATGTCAAATATCCAAGAACTCGTCAAAATTTAAATCTTTGATTTAATATTCTCATTTTGTTCAGTATCATAGAAAACCTCTAAATCTAAAACATATGGAAAATATTCTTAAAAATCACCTTTATAAAGGTGAGGTTTTAACATACAAACCATGACATTTCGATGAATGAGACATATCAACCGGGTCGAAAAATTTGACTTCGTGCCGACTCGGAGAAAAATACATCATTCGAAAGAGCTCGAAAAGTTGAATAAGGTGATATAATTTTCCCGAAGAGGTACTCTCAAGTCCCCAGCAAAAATTTTTGAAAAACGTTTCCCAGCGAGAATTGTCATTAGTCTTTCGTTCTCTTTCTATATATATCTTTTTTTTTTACACGCGAATATGTTCATATATAGAAACGTTCGCGTATGACATATACATTCAGCAGGAAAGAAAAATTTAATCATCATATTTCATGTACAAAACTTCTCAAATAATAAAAAAGATCTGAAAAGAAGGTGATTTTGATCTAAGAATATGATTGAAGCCAAATTAAAAATGATTATATTAATAGCATCCGAAAATTTTGTCAAAATTAATATCAAGGTACTAACTTTGAAATATTAAAGTATTTATTTTGAATTTTGTCTCGATAAATTTTATTTTTTGTAAAATTATTAGCTTGAGCTTTTCTCAACAATATAGTTGCACACAAATATAAATAAAGATCTGATATTTATCTCTTGTATTCATCAATAATTATGACATTCTTTCATTTTCTTGAGTGTTGATTATCACTCACTGCATAAGCGAAAAATAGGCAGACACGTGCATTTAAATGAAAATTCATATTCCTTCATTTAATACAATTCATGTGCTGTCGTTATAGGAACTCAATGAGATTTCAGCTTTTGTTTGAAATCGTTTTATCTTATCATCTTACTTTAGACTGATTCATAAGAGTTAATTTGTATTACTTGATTTAAATAAAGTACAAAAATATAGAAAATATTTGAGAAAATTCGAATTCATGAGAATACTTTTGAAGAAGTGGCGAAAAAGAAAGTATATAAACTGCTTTGCATAGGATTCAAGCTCATGGGACGTTATGCTTACTATTAGACATTGAGCTGTATGAATGATTCTTGTTTTGTTCTTGCTTGTAGTTGTTCTTAACTTCGATTGAAATTTAATGCTACTGATTGTATATGAACATATTCGCGTGTAAAAAAAAAAGATATATATAGAAAGAGAACGAAAGACTAATGACAATTCTCGCTGGGAAACGTTTTTCAAAAATTTTTGCTGGGGACTTGAGAGTACCTCTTCGGGAAAATTATATCACCTTATTCAACTTTTCGAGCTCTTTCGAATGATGTATTTTTCTCCGAGTCGGCACGAAGTCAAATTTTTCGACCCGGTTGATATGATTTTCTATTATAAAGTTATAATTTTTCTTTTCTCTCAAACATCTTAACTTTTCCATATGAAACAAATCAATGAACTAGTTAATATTCGAACACCATTAAATAATAATACATTAGAATGCATTGAAAAATAATTCTTATTTAGTATTCGAATATTATTCAATAACAAAAAATCATAAGAAAGCCATTACAATTATAACTCATGACCGGATATTAAAATATCATTTAATAATAATATATTCTAATGTATTGAAACGTAATATCTTCTCCTCTATTAAAAGGGTATTTAAAAATAATGTATTGTAATCCAATAAATTAAAGTAATAAAGAACATCAAAATATCACTTTTAATAATAATGTATTAAATGAATAGCATAGAACAATGTTATTGATATGATTATTCGTTCTAAATTTGTAAATTAGTCTAAAACAACTATTATAATATGTACATTTTCTGTTAATAGATAGATAATCATTTAGTACTACTTTTTGATCAATTATGGCTACTTTAATTAATGAAATAATGAGTAGATTATTTCAAATGAATATATAAGGATCGCCGTGTCGCATTAACATATTTCTCATCTACTCAGTTGATAAAGAAATTATTGGGACGGCCTAACATTATTCATTTATTATTTATTTATTTTTCTTTTGTTAATTTCTCTTTTTTCTCACTCTTTTTCTCTTTCGTTTCTTATTATTTTTTTTTCTTTATTAAAATTAAAAAAACTTAAAAAAAAGAAAAAATTCTATTAATAATTATTATACATATAACATCATTGGCCTAGACTAATCTAAGTCACTCAATGGGATCGAAGCGCAAAAGAGATGAAGCATCACCTGTTCGTAAACGAGCTACTCAATCAACTAAGTAAATACCGTTTGCTTCTTTCTTAACGAAATATGTACAACTGTTGTTCTTCTAGTATTACAACATCAGTTAAATTGACTGAACTTAAAGCAATAATAGAAAACGGTCTCAAAAATCACCCCATGAAAATGGCAGCAAGACAGTATCTTTCCAACACAAGTAATCGAGCGAAATCTTATTTGTTAATATTATATGAACCATCACATTTGTTTTTAGAGGGAGAAATTGATATCGATCAATTAGTGAAGTTATTAGACGAGTCAAGCGCCCAGCCAAAATCGGAAAAACTTCTAGTAAGCTAACTTCGCCTATTCTCATCTCAATGATTGTAAACCATATTATGTGTTCTTACATTACAGAAAGCTCTCACCGAACGAGGTGAAAATATGCCTGATTTTCTTACTGTCCGCGATATTAATGATAGTTGTCTCGAATGTACATTAGATTCAAATAAACACGCTGTATATGTATTAACAATCACTCTACCAAAGACCATATATAATAATATGAAAAATCATCCAAAATTTAGAAAATGGAAAATTATGAAAAAAGCTCATGTCGATGGCGAGTTTGTTTATCTCAAAGGAAAAATAGGTGAAACTACTAATTTTTATAATCGTAGCAAGTCATATTATAAGAAGAATTATAGTAATGAAAAAAGTATGTTGTAATGACATTTAAATTTCCATCATAATGATTTTTTTAAGATCCACTATCTCGAGTACTAGCCTATCTAAAAACACAAGATGAAACATCTGGTAAGCGACAATTTCGTGAATGGGTTCGCATATGGCCAATCCTGTCTGGCAAGAACATGAATGTAAGTCAATCAAAAACCTATTTATACAGCTTATGACTCTTGTTTATAGACTGAAGAAGAAACAATAAAAATGGAAACATTTTGTTCGTTTTTGATTGGTCCGAAAGGAAATAGTGGTTATTATTATGTGGGGCGAGTACATAATTTAACTACCGAAGCGAAACGAGAAAATGGTATGTATATATTATTCGTCGAGAAAGACAAATTAACATTGTTAATTTTTATTTTTTATTCGGCAGGTGAACGACTCATTAAATATGGAAAGAAACTTGTGAAGCGTCCGGGTGAAGCGATGATAACACGTCATCAACTCAATGGTAAGACATTGTTGAACCATCGGTTCTGATATGATGAATTTAATCAATGCATTGTTTAGCTATAAGATTAAATAAATTGATGTTGGAGATGGTCGAAGGTCCGGATGGAACGATGATAACACGTAATCAACTCAATGGTAAGACACTTCTGAAGCATCGGTTCTAATATAATGAATTTAATCAATACATTGTTTAGCTATAAGATTAAATGAATTAATGTCAGAGATGATCGAAGGTCCGGATGGAACGATGATAACACGTAATCAACTCAATGGTAAGACACTTCTGAAGCATTGGTTCTAATTAGGGGTGGCACTTTAACTTTAACTTTTTTTTTAAAGTCCATGTGTTTGTGTCTTGCCATACTATAGGGTACCCTTAGGTCCTCAAGTCCTACTTTTGAAAAAATTTTTTTTTACTGCAGAAAATGACTTTTTGAGAAAAAATAAATTTTTTCGGGAACACCCAAAATTTTGTGAAAAAAAATTTTTTTCATAAAAATTTTGGGTGTTCCCGAAAAAATTTATTTTTTCTCAAAAAGTCATTTTCTGCAGTAAAAAAAATTTTTTTTCACAAAATTTTGGGTGTTCCCAAAAAAATTTATTTTTTCTCAAAAAGTCTATTTCTGTATAAAAAAAAATTTTCGAAAAAAAAATTTTTTTTCACAAAATTTTGGGTGCTCCCGAAAAAATTTATTTTTTCTCAAAAAGTCGTTTTCTGCAGTAAAAAAAAATTTTTTTCAAAAGTAGGACTTGAGGGCCTAAGGGTACCCCTATAGTATGGCAAGACACAAACACATGGAATTTAAAAAAAAAGGTAAAGTTAAAGTGCTACAATTTTTACTTTAATTAAAGTTTAAAGTTTTAAAATTTTTCACTTTAATTAAAGTTAAAGTGCCACCCCTAGTTCTAATATATTGAATTTAATCAATACATTGTTTAGGTAAAAGTTTAAGTAAATTGATGTCAGAGATGATCGAAGGTCCTGGTGGAGAGATGGTGAAACGTCGAACAATAGCAGGTAAGACATGTTACTGATTCATTAACTCTAATATAATAAGCTTAATTTATACATTATTTAGTTAAAAATATGGTAGAACAGAGACGTCAATCTATCTGCCGAAGTGATGGAGTTGTCAGAACTGGTTTTCAACAGGGCAGTGAGTACTAGCGATTACGGTAGAAAAATCATTAACTTTTTTATTCTAGTGGTTACACGCAATTCAAATGATTCGGAAGAAGCCAAAAATACTATTGATGCATTTGTCAAACGAACTAATATCTATCAAAAACCTGGCTATGAAGAGCCTAGAGTCATTTTAGCGTGTGCTTCTAAAATTCCCAAGTATGGATGGCCTGCAACATGCGACGAATGTAAGACTATATGCTGTGTCACCAAAATCTCTTCAAAAAACAATAACTATCTAACTCGACCTTCTTGTACCAATCGTTCAAAACATAGAAGCAATAACAATCGCAAACTAAAAGCTGATAATCATTTAATACAAGAATATATATATGATTCTCGAAAGATTAATTCGTAACATTTCTTTCGTACTACATATTTAATAAACCACAATAATATAATAATGTTGAGAATGTAATTTGTATTTATATTCAAAAAGATAATAAAAAATCAGTCTAAACCTCAATAAACAAGCAATATTTATTATAATGTATGAGCAAGTGTGAGGGTGAATCTTGAGATTCTTAATGAATAATCAGTTGAGAAGAAAATGTAGGAAAATTTTTTGAAGAATAAATTTTATTTTGTTGATTTAACGGAAATTTTCGATCATAAACGACCATTATCAACCTAATACATTAGTATACAATTAAAGTAGAATCTAAAGCTTGAGTGATTTCATCTGGTATTTCATTGGCATTTGGATTAAATTTTGATATTATATTTAACACTGCATGTGATAATAACAAAATTTAATATTGATTTTCTATCAGTTTATGTTGTTATGGTTTATCATGTTAAGTTCATGATGTTTTGAATTTCATTATTTTGAATATGTGTCAGGCAGAATTAAACTAGTGATAAAAATTTTTATTTTGAAAATATTGGATATAATTTTGCCTAGTCAAAATGAAATCTGTGTACAATTGAAATTAAACAAAGTAGTGCATAGGCGTCGATATTTTTCATTATTTTTTTCAATTACTATAATATTTTATGAAAAAATCATTTTCAGTGTGTTTGAGTACAGATGTTGCAGAAGAGTCTCGAATTTAGCTTTCGTGATGGGGACGTGGGGACATTTATGATTCGTTAGATTTTTGTTTTTTTTCGATTGAATTTTTTTTTGGTTTTCGAAAACTATCTATTTTTTTGAATGATGGGGACATGGGGACATCGATGATTGTTTAGACTTTTGTTTTTTTCGATCGAATTCTGTTTTTTTCGTTTTTGAAAACTATCTATTTTTTTGAATGATGGGGACATTGACGATTGGTTAGAGTTTTGTTTTCTGCAATCGAATTTTTTCTTTTTCGTTTTTGAAAACTATCTGTTTTTTCAATGATGGGGACATGGGAACATTGACGCTTGGTTAGATTCCTTTTTTTTTGATCGAATTCTTTTTCGTTTTTGAAAACTATCTATTTTTTTGAATGATGGGGACATGGGGACATTGACGATTGGTTAGATTATTTTTATTGAATTTCTTTTTGATGTACAAAAAGTTCGTATGTTCTTCGATGATGAGGACGTAGCTATTTCGCATGTTTGGTCAAGTTTTATTACGTAATCTTTTTTTTTGTTCAATCAATTTCTTTATTTTTTTCATGAGAGGAACAGTGCATGCTTCTTTGAATTTGAATGATTAATAAGTTTTTTCGTTTTATATCATTTTGCTTTTATTGATCAATTAATTGATTATTATGGATAGAAGGATTGATGAAGAAAATGGCTGTAGCATGGTTCAAAATGTGTTTTATCTGTTTTTACATATAAAACAAAGATTATCTAAAGCGTTACCTTCGAACATCGTATGTTATCAAGGCATTAGTTGATGACAGTTCGCTGGTGACTAATTGGTAAAATCAATAAAAAACTGTATAAAGGATTTGTATAGATTTTACGAGCTTTACAACTGATGGATTTAATACATTGAATTTCTGTTCTTGAGTATATTGGAAAATGAATATCTATTTAGTTGCTATTATGTATTGGAATAATTCAAAAAATCAAAATTATTGAAAAAGAATGATTCCATAGTCGCTTTCTATGTATAGAAAATAGACCAAATTTTGTATTTCATTTAGGAGTGGCAGTTTTGAAGGATTCTTTTAAAGCTCTCTAGTGTAAAATAGAATTCCATGGATAGACGTATTATTTACAAAGTCAGTTCATTTAGTTAGATGGAATAATTTATATAAATGAAAAAGATTTTAGAAGAGAATTTTTGGAAAACAGTGTAAAATCAAAAATTTAAATTTGAAAATACGGGCATAATATTTATTGGAGTTATAAACAAAAAAAAAATATTAATGACTGTTGTGTATTTATAGAATAAGTAAATTATACGATAAGTATTAATGTGTCTATTTTGTTTTTTTATAAGTTTTTTTATGTTTGACAGATTCCTTGTCACAAGTATTTCGTTTATTACGTTGAATATGACGAGAATGAGTATTAATATGGTGTTTTATGTTTGAAGATGTTGGTTCGGAATTATTCATATCTAAATAGTAGAAAAACAAATGAAACGTTTTCATACATCGGTTTAAAGGAATACAGAAATCGAAGACATGAAAATCTGCCAGTGGGTCAATTTTTTAATGATTTCATCGACTCAAGTCGTGCTTTAGGTTATTTTTAAAGAAATGAGAGACAGTTTTTTCAGAAAATAAACAATTGTTGGTACATCTATAAGGACTTTTCCAATATTGAGAAGAAGTAAACAATGTCTTATGTATAAATTGTGTTGGTTTTATATTAATTTTGATATGGATTAACTTATCATGATATGAACGACTTTGAATAGAGTTTTCATAGATATTTAAACGTTAGTCAATGCGAAAAAAAATGAAAGATATTATTTCCTAGTTTACATGAGAAGAAAAGCAAATTTTCCTAATCACTGCAGCGTGTTTAATTATAGCGATTTAAAAAATTTGCTATTTAAGTTGTATGAATTTGAGTCAGTTGTAAGCGAATTAGAAGTTTCAAAAGTGTTTGATACTATACATGAGGTAGTTATTTCATTGTTTTCAATTTCAATAAATGGTGTATTATTATGTTCATCATGAATATTTAATGCTACTTGTTCTTGATGATCAGATATGATGAATGCTGATAGTAAAATATTGCTAATTGGAGATATTGAAAATTTTTTTGAATGTTAGAAATAGAATTATGTATTTGTGTCGTTGTGGTTAAGTTATCATCCGATATCGTATTATCTATTAGGACACTGTATAAATTAAGACACTATTATTATGATAGGAAATTTACTGTTAGATATTAAAGGTGTGCAATTTGAATCTATGTTGGTTTTAGTCGTTTTTTTTGAAAAAACGAACTTATGTGTGTATGTGCATGCCTTTTAGTTAACGTACCAGATATCTGTTCTGTGAAATTAGTTTGTGTAAGATTCAATGGATAGTCATTGATATCAGAAGATTTTTCTAGATTTAATGCAGATACTGTATTTTCGCGAATAGATAAACTTTGTTCATGGTTTCGTATATTAATAGCATCATAAATATTTGAGACTTGATGGTTCGTTGAATTATCTAAACACAAGTTATTGTTTAGTTTTTTAAGTAATCTCACAAAATTTCAAAATACCAGGAACAATGTGTATAGGTGATGTGTGAATAATATTATTTGAAGACGACATGTTGTTGGATTGTTCAACTGAAGAATTTGCATGTAATTGTTCAAGTAATTGATTTAAAGGATTATATGTCTGTTCATCATTATGATGAGGCAGTATTTCATCAGATACGATGGTTACTATTTGATGAATATTATTATTTACAAAAAATGAAATTAGTAAATATCAGTTTATTTTGTAATAATTACCTGTGTCTTGATTAGTTGTAGATTGAATATTTGTTGATTGATTACTTGTTGTTTCATTACGCAATGGCTGATTATTTGCCATTGTAACAGTGTCAACATCATTTGATGCATAACTACCTATAATGAATAAAGCAACAATGTAAATTTAAGTTTCATTATCAACATTGATTAGGTTTATATCATATTAAAAAATTTATATGAAATGCATACTATCCAGATTACGTTCTGGATATTTTCGTTTTAAATTTTCATATAGAAGTTGGTGTTCCGGCAACGTTAAAATTTGTTTTCCAATCACTGTTAATACTTGTTTTTGCTTTATAATAGAATTGCTCAATATTGTCATATAACTTTGTAAATCCATTTTCATATCAGTAAAAATTCGATCAATAACACTTCGTTTTATTGGATCATTTAGAACATCATTGGATGGATAAGATTTCGTATGAACAATAGCGCGTGATATTGTTGTTATGAATGCTTTGAAGCTATAAAAAGATCAAAATGCGCTTTTCATATAAGATGGATAATGTTAGAATTAAAAGGGAAATAAGAAAAACTTTAGTTATGAAATCAGATGAATATTTTCGAAGTCTTGTCAAATCTTATGAACTCAAGAAATTTGTTGTAAGTGTTTGGAATATGTTGAAATCGCATGAAATTTGAAACGAGTCTAGTACGTATTCTTTATCCAAAATTTTATAAGAGACTTATAACGCTGTGTTTTTTTTTACTAGTCTTATTTAAGGCCCCCCCCCCCCCCCCCCCCCTTAGAAAATCGAATTTTCCAAGGGAATATCGAAGTTAAGTTTTTTATCAGAGGAAGATGCAGCGAAGCTTCCTCTTTCAGAATATATATAGTTTTTTCGAAAATGACCAGATTTTCAAAGACTTATCATATAAAACTTTGACTCTACTACCATATTTTCGGAGAAATTTTCAGGTGTTTCAGTTTTGGAAAAACTGCGTTGTCACTTGCATTAGCATTGAGTAGAACAGTTTTATATTACCCAGCATGTCAGATGGCTTTAGTTACCTTCATTTCTTACGTAGTCTAAAGCGATCCACTGGAATGAATTAATAATATACCATTGTAATATGATTTTTTCGGGATTTGAATGAAAAAATCCAGTTCTAAAATTTCTTTAGCGTTTTTCTCAAAATACGGTTTCCAGACAGAAAAATTGAAATAACTCCGTCCTGTCTCAAGCTATAACCAATAATTTTTTTTTGTTTTAAAGGTCTCAATGAGAGTAAATTTTTGTCCGAACGGATTTTTTATAGTTGGTTCCTGAACTGAGAAAAGTGGGATTTACCGTCGTTGGACCACTATTTTTTATGTTAATTTTAAGACCATCCCGCTAAAATGCTCATAAAAAATGAATGAGATTGAATTTCAAAATTCTGTTCGGACAAAAGTTGCATACTCACATTGACTTTAATTTGACACCAACCCGAACTCTCTACCCCATCTTACGACGAAGTTATATCGATTCTCCTGAAGGCCAAAAATGACCTGTGAATCAGCTGGAAATCCGGTGTAGTGCGACCAATCGGGCTGAAATTCTTACCAAAAGCGTATCTCTCCAAGATCACTCATTCCTGTAAATTTCAGCCCAAAAGGACCATCTTAAGTGGAAAATCGTTTTTGAGGGAGGTCCCCTTAAGTGGTAATGTGAAGTTTTATTATTTAGTGAATTTTAAAGAAGAATTTTAACTTCGCAAGAGCGTAAATAGAGAATAGCTAACATTTGAATGGTCTATAATAATGTTGTTTATTCTATAATGATATAGTGAAATGATTTTTCAAATTAATATGATTCTTATGAAGAATTTAAATTCTTGTCCTTTCGTATCACTCGCAACTGTCAAGTGATTCAGAAATAGTTCGCCTCAGAGAACAAGTAGTTGATTTCAAGATATTGCGAGTTTAAACCATTTTACAATATTATCAAAGCTAATTCAATACTATGATTGAAATTTTTCTTGTTTCTCCTTCGATATGGTTTTTTTACTTTTTTATAGGTTATAAAAATTCCACTCAATCTTTAACGATTCTTAGCTGCTAGTAAAATTTTTAAGTCACTCGAAATCTTATGAGATTTTTTCAGTGTGATGAATTTAATGAAAGTTTTATGGGATTGAGGGAAGTCTTTTCAAGTTCAATTGAAGTCTTTTGAAATGTTATTATATCTGCGAAATATCACGAAGTTTTAGAGAATTGTAAGTGAGTAAGAGTCTCAATTTTACAATTTCATAAATTGTAGATGCTTTCTTAATTTTTGTAAAATCGTACAGGATTTTTGGAATTTAATGAAGTGCTTGGAAGTTCTTTGGAATCTAATGAAGATTAATTAGGTTTTGTAAAATATCATTAAATCTTTAAAATATCCTACATTGCTAGAAATGCTGTGAAATTTAGTGAAGTCTTGATAAAGTGCCGAAAATTTTCGTGAAGTTTTATAATTGCAATTTTTATTATGTGTTAAACTCTGACGAAATTCTTCGAATTTTCATAAAGCTTTTGATATTTTTTAGGAGTGCTTTGAAATGTGTTGAAAATTTGAAGTGTTTGCTATTGAAGTTTTTTGAGATCATGAAATTAATCTTGTGCCTTTTTCTTGTAGAAGTCTCTTACACTTTTCAAAAATCTCCAAAAATCAGGCAAAGTTTACTGCACTGCTTACAAGTTTAGTAAAGTTATGTAAACCTATATAAAGTTTTATGATATCTTTTGAAAATTTAAAATTTTGGTTGGTAAAGTCTGTTAAAGTTTTGTGAAGATTGTGAAAGTCCTGAATCCTTGAAGTCATTTCATTCTTCTTTGATTAAGATATGGATTGTAAGATAGTTTTTGAAATAATCGCATTTCTACTCTCGTCCTTGTCGTAGTAATCGATATTTTGTAAGTTCATCAATAATAGTATTGATCATGTCCGTTGAGAAATGACGAAGTAAACCCATTGATCCTGTTAAATCTCGTTTCACGAAAAACAGTTGGGGCATTTGGAGAATACGTTCACGAATTTTATTTGTTGTTGAGTAAACTAAATTGATTATTTTTTTTTTTGAAATTTATATCAATACAATTGTAGAAATTTTTACGAGAAAATGCTTCAGTTGTAGTTTTTTTATCATCAATATGGACAGGATCGACATTGTAAATTGCAAATAACATTTTAAGTAAATGACTGCAAAAAAAGACGACCAGCAAGACGACAACTCGATGATTGAATTTCCAAAACGATGGTTTGAGATGAATATTTATTTTCAATTACCTGCGTGGCATTACGAATAAAACTAAAGCTAGGATCATCGTATCTAAGTTGATTTTGATCTTCAAGATATCTATACAATAAATCAGTTGACGAATTGTATTATTTTAAATGATACTATAACGAAATAAAAAAAACAAGAATTTTACACTTACTGTAATATTTCGATTGCAATTTTAACAATTTGACTAGTTCCAGCAAGTTTACATAAAATTTCTGCTGATTTACCAATACGTGAACCATAATTAACATCGTCTGATTTTTCAAGTTGTGATAATTCTTGATATTGTCGTATTTTATTATAAAATTTTTTTGTACCATTTCGACTTAAAACAAATTCACGTTTACCAATTAGACGAGCTACTATTAATATTTGTGCTAAACTTGGTAAATTTTCTTTCATCCTGTTTAATCTTTCAGATTCATATTCTTCGTCGCCTAAACCCTATGATAATAGACAAAAAAGAAATATTTTCCTCTTCACAGAATACTCAAAAAATTATTATAAAATGCAATTTTTTTACAAGTATACTTAAAAAAAGGCCTAGTATTTATTCGAGCAATAAAAATATTGGAATCAGCAATACTTTGTGAGCAATAAAAAAAAAAACTTTATCGAGCAATTTTATATTATTAAATGAACAATAATTAATTCATTAAATAGCAGTAATAATTTCATATTTTAGCAATAAATAAAAAGAAAAACTGCATTATTTTTAGTTACAATCGAAAATTAAAAAAAAGAAATAAAAAATATAGTACATTATTGGATCAATAAAGTTTTTTTTGCTTGGATGGTCTGCCTCTGTTTCTTACGTATTTCTATCTGAACTCGACCAGAAGATTTTGGGCCATTCTAGTTTTTGGAATACTAAACTGTTTTTCGAATACACATCTGTGCAGTAATGTTTCCACTTTCATACAATGTAATTATAACTGTACAAAAGACAATCAGAGTTGAAGGATTTTTAAATAAAAAGGTTGAAGTTCATATTTGGACTCTGTCAGACCCAAATGTATGGGCTCGAACGTTTTTTGTTTAAAAACCTTCGGCTTTGAATAGTTGTTGTACAGTTCTAATTGCATAGTCTGAAAGAGTAAATATTAATCTACAAAATTTGTATTCGAATAACCATTCAATATTCGAGATGATAGAATGATTCCTTTGGTCGGATTCAGAAACACCAGTACAGCTAACTTGACAAAAGAGAAAGAACATGAATGGTGTAGATACATATGTAGAGAAAGAAAGAGACCGAAAATATAATGTATAATATAACACAACTCTATCTTATAGCACACCTTTGGAATGTAGCATAACAAAATGAATCCGTAGTGCCCCTTTTTATATAAAATTTACCTTTAATTTAAGTAAATTATTACTGATTCAGTATACTTATTGCTCATTCAATATAGTTATCGCTTATTCAATATAATTATTGCTCACCCAATATAATTATTGCTGATTCAATATAATTATTGCTCATCCAATATAATTATTGCTGATTCAGTAAATTTATTGCTAAATTTCGTTATTGTTCATTTCAATTATTTTATTTCTGAATTAAATATAAGTCTAAAAAAAAGTCACGCATTCTTTTTGCCAACTTAAAAAAAACCTATTACAATATTTAATTTGTTAATTTGCTTTCAAACAAAAACTACTCTTCTAGTATTAAAAATAAATGAGAAAATCAGTGAAGTCTAAATGATATTACTAACAAGTATCATTGAAATTTTTTTACAAAAAAGAATGAAGAAACAAACCCTAGGAATAAGAATAAATTATGCTTGAATAGATCTAATATAAGTCGATGTTTTTTTGGACCTATTCTATCCAGATTCTTTATCGATCAGGAAAGAAAAAGATTTTTGTATAACCTATAGGAAAAATATCATAGATTGCCTTTCTGAACAAGTACATATATATAATGGCTTTGACACTATCTATTCACATCTCTTCGTGGTGGTAATTAAAAGTTAATATGTTAAGAGCAAGTAAGGACGCATACATGGAAGAATAATCGTAAAAGATAGATGAGATTAAGTGTAATCGTATATAAGTGACGGGTAGGTAAGTGGATTTGAATTTGAAAGAGTGTATGCGTGAAGATGACGGTGAACGATATAGATAACATCATCCATCATTCAGTCACTCTCGTTCATACATACTACACTCAGATGGTCATCGATCTCACACATTCATCACTACTTACCTTAAAATGACTGGAATTGTGCAATAATCATAAGAATACAAGGATTTCAAAAAAAGAATTTTGGGCAAAAATATTGTTTGATGAGTCACTTCTTGTCTTATCTAGATCGCACAGCGGTTCTTCTTTCCTGTTTTCCTCCTTTTTTAGTTTTCGATAGAAGTGACCTGTTAGAAAAAGCTAGAAATATGATGGAGATACTTGAATTGTCCTCATAATTAATCTGGTATAGAAAGAACTGCAAAGACTATGTACTGTAGCTAAACTCAAGAAAAATTTGTCTTAAATAGCATAAAAAGGTCTTGCAGATTTAGTCACATTCAGATTTTGATTGATGTTAAATAACGATTTCTGCAATTTCCATAGACGAAGAAGTGCTATTGAGTTTTCTGCTTCTATCGACATTCACCATTAGAAATTAACAAATACATTATTTCTCAACCCTCCAGAACCCCTTAAATTTTCCGACTGCTTTGTCTCCATCAATAAACTCGTCTTAGAAAAATCTCTGTCCACATCGACAGTCTTGTAAAACAAAGATCAGGTAAACTGTAAAATGAAAATAAAATTACAACATTCAGAAACTCAAAGGATATACGTTTGAAAGTTTCAAGAAGTTTTTGTTTAGATAAATAATAGATGAGTGGGTTTTTCTAGGGCTAAAAATACACTTTTCGATGAACAGCAACTGCTGATTACGAACCTATATTTCTACGATTGATCTTGCATCCGCTCATCTCTATGTCTCATACTCTATCCATACGCAGACTTTATCATTCAGAAACATATGTGATATTGGCAATGCGAAGCTGTGTATTTCATCTAACAAAAATTATTAGGAATAATTAAAGTGAGTGATATGAAAAAATATATTTGTTCTCGATTACTGAAATGTAAAAGGTCATCTTTTACTATTCTCTTCTCACCGTACGTATTATCGAGTTGATTTGAGCTCTTGCAAAATGACCAAATCATGATTTCGAAATGATTTTGTTTGTTCAAGCTCTAATATCATTTCTTATCATTGAACGTTTTTTTTT